GGTCCCTCCATTGGTTCGGAGAGATGATCTAAAATCTCCAAGCATGAGTTCACCATCTCATTTGATTGTTTCTCTTCAACAGATTGGCATATGGTGTACTCCATTGGATCTCTTGAGAGTAAATGAGATTCCTCAAGAGTTCCAAGAATACATGAATCAATGATATCCACGTTGAAACAATCAAGAACGCATGCAGCATTCTTAGTCAGCTCTTGTACATTGAACTCAATCTTGCCATCCCCAATTTCAAGGATGAGTGTACCTTTCTTCACATTTATGATTGCTCCAGCAGTGGCTAGAAATGGTCTCCTGAGAATGATAGGAACTCGGGCATCTTCTTCCATATCCAAGACAACAAAGTCTCCTGGAATATAGTATTTATCGATCTTCACAGGAACATCATCAAGAATGCTGATTGGGTACTTGGCAGAGCGATCAGCCAATTGTAGCGCCATGGTTGTCGGTTTTGGATCACCCAAGTGTAGCTTTTGACACAGAGAGTATGGAATCAAGCTAACACTTGCACCAAGATCACAAAGAGCTTTGTTTACTTTAGATCCTCCGATGTAGCATGAAATTGAAAAACTTCCAGGCTCACGTAGTTTTGGTGTGATCTTATTTTGGATAATGGCACTGAACTCTTGACTCATGGCCACCATGAGAGGATTTTCCTTCTTCTTTGTTAAGATCTCCTTAAGAAATTTGGCATATGATGGAATTTCGGTGATGGCATAAAGCAAAGGAATAAAGATATCCAATTGCTTGATTCGGTTCAAGAACTTGGTTCTTCGTTCCTCAATATGTGATTTCTTGAGTCGGTTTGGAAAAAGAATTGGTGGAGCATATTTCCTTACCAAACCTTCTTCTTCTTTTATCTTTCCTTCTTTGATCTGGATTGACTTCGGCAACATTACAGCAACATCTCCTTTGACTTTGTTCTGAGCTTCTTCTTTGGCATCCTCTCCTCTTTCTTATTCGGGATCACTACTCGGAAGAGATGGAGATTGAAGTTGTTTCCCACTTCGAGTAGTGATAGCATTCATTTGCTCTCTTGGAATCTCGGGACAAGCTGACAATTTCCCAGTCACCTTTGTTGATGATGTTGATGCTTGACTAGAGATTTGATTTTCAAGCATCCTATTGTGAGCTCGAAGTTTAGTAAGCTCTTCAGAAATCCTCTTCAAGGTTTCGGCTTGAGCTAATTGAGATTTGAGGAGCTGATCAACAATGTTCTCCAAGCCGGAAGCTGATGTTGTTTCAGGAGTTGGCAGGATCAGCTTTTGTTGATTGGAAACGTAGGGGAAGCTTTGGTTTTGCTTAAATTGTTGATTGTTAGCAAAACCTTGGCCACCTCTAAATTGTTGTTGCTGTTGATTTTGAAAGCCGGGTGGTGAACTCCGATAAGCTTGTGGATTGGCAGCTCCACTGAGATTGCTCTAAGAGAAACCAGGATGATTTCTGTTTTGTGAATTAAATCCGCCAAATGGGTTTTGTTGTTGTTGCGGCCGGTTGTAATTGACATAATCAACTTGCTCCATTGAATCCCATGGACACGAAGATTGATCAGGTTGTCCACCACATGATACACACATGAGAACAGGAACATGAGGCGGTGCTGGCGTAGTGTTTTGCACAGCAGAGACTTGAGAAATCTTTTGGATCATGCTCATCATGCTATCGACGTTAGCTGCCATGGCTGACATTTGATCAACTTCGTACATGCCTCCAATTTTTGGTTGAGAGGTTGGACGATCAGAGTACCAGGTGGAACCGTTTGTTGAGATCCGCTCAATGAGTTCTTCAGCTTTGTCAAGTTCAAGGCTCATGAATGATCCACGTGCTGAGGCATCCAACAATATCCGTGAGTTTTCGTTTAGGCCTTCATAGAAAGCCGTCATTAGGTGCCAGCTTTGGATATTGTGGTGTGGGCATTGCCTTTGGAGATCTTTGAATCTTTCCCAAGCCTTGTAAAGGGGCTCGTTTGGATTTTGCTTGAAATTTTGGATCATTCTCATGATATTTGCGGTTTTGGAAGGCGGGAAGAATCTTTTGATAAATTTTCCGTGAAGCTGGTCCCAAGTTGTGAAATGATTGTCCGAAAATGAATCTAGCCAGCTTTGAGCTCTGTCCCTTAGAGAGAACGGGAACAGACGGAGTCTGATTGCATCAGTTAGCACACCATTGATTTTGAACGTATTGCACGCTCGGAGGAATTTGGTGATATGGTTGTGTGGGTCCTCCGTTGGTCATCCACCAAACTGATCAGATGAGACCATGTGGATGACAGCAGGTTTGATTTCGAAGTTGTTTGCTGTGACATCCGGTGGAATAATACTGTTGTGTTCCGCCACAGGAGGAGTGACATAGTTAGAAAGAGTCCTCCTGTTCGCAACTTCATTTTGTCTTCTCTGAATTCCCTGCACATTTTCAAGAACATCGTTCCGTGGGACTTCCATTTTATTTATTTTTCCTATTTCTTTCAAATATTTTTCAATTTCTGGAAAGAAAAATTTTTCTTGATTTTTCCCACGGGAACGAGGTAGCATAAAAAGAAAGGGATTGGGGAGGATTAGAGAGAGAAGAGGGAGAAGGGAATAGAAAGAAAATAAAAGGGAAAAAAATAAAAGGAAAAGAGAAGGGAAAGGGGGGAAGGAAAAGAAAAAAATGTAATGTACAATAATTAATAAAAAGGCTCTTACTTAAGTCAAGAGGTAAAAACCACCAAGACAACTGATACCTAAGTTAGTAGTTAGCGGTTAGAGTTCCAAGTGATAATAAACCAACGAGGACACTAAAAAAATAAAAAGAGTTAGTAAAAGAATCACACTATAATGATTCTTTCCTTATTCATGATGACTTCGTTGATGAGGTAGTTATAGAGAAAGCCACACCGGAAGTTATATATTCTACGGAAGTGATTTCCATAGAGTATTATCCTCTTTTCAATGAAGGAAAATCTTATCACCTCTCTGAGGTATGTTTGAAGCAGGTTTTTACAGGGAATGGCATCATGTTCCGGAAATTACACAACGAGGTGCCCACTAATTCCGGAAGTAACCTCATTATTGGTGGTTCATTGAATTTCCCATTTGATCCGGGAATTCTTTTATGAAACCCCAATCAGTCACGGTGGTGCGAAAGTTTGAGGACAAACTTTCTTCGAAGAAGGGGAGTATGATGTACCCCTGGATGGCTCCACCAAAATCCCAACTCTCCCAACATATCCAAAAGTCTTCTTTCTTTTCTTTAATTCAAAATAAAGTCTTTCCCATCAATTTTTAACTCCAGGTCAAAAATGAAATCAAAGGAAGACAAGTCAAACCTTAGTTTCTTATTATCTTTTAAAACCTTTGTTTCT